GGGATCCGCGAGGGGGCGCCGAGCTGAGTAGGGTCCCGCCGCGCGGGCTTCCAAACCCGGAGGCAGAGGCGACACCGTGGACGCTGTCCCCCTCCCTCGCCACGGAAACTTCCGTCCAGCCCTTGGCGCGGCGGGACCGTCGCCCCCCACCTTCTGCACCTGTGCAGCCTCCCTCTCCGTGCCCCCGCCCCCCACCGGCCTCGCAAGCTCTCCGGCTCACCCGGCTGCTGTGCGCGGCGCAGTGCGGTGCCGGAGCGCGCTTGGCCGCAGAGGTCGGCGGGAGAGCAGAGCAGCGCCAGCTCCCAGTGGCTCGCGCGCTCTTCCGCGCGGCGCTGGCTGTCCTGCCCGGTCGGAACGGACGCCGCTGGGCTTGCCTTTGGGGACCTTCCAGTGCCCTCTTCGGATCCGAGGGCTAGATAGTCATCGCACGGACGGGCGGCACACGTCTTGCTTCCACGTCTCAGCAGAAACGCCAGGGCCGGGTAAGTAAGTGTAAGTCCTAACTCTGATTCACATTCTGGCAACGAGAATATCCCCAAAAGAAGAGCTCTGGTCCTATGAAGAGGGTATAGGGGAGGTCCTCATGAGTGTGAGGACTTTTTTTTTTTTTCCCCCTCTCACTTAGGTTGAGGGTGGGGGTTGGGTTGATACCATCACTATTTTCTACGTTAGCTAGAATTTTCCTTTTCTGCTGAAGGTTCTTTTTCCTTGACCTTCTTAGAGAGAGGTCATCATCTTTCCAGAGCAGCAAGTTGTTACTGTTTCTGTCTCTTAAAAAAAAAAAAAAAAAATCAAACACCTGTCTAAAGCAGAAGGTTATATTGGATTCTCCAAAACTGTTCAAGAATGAATACGTTTATTTAAGCATTCATTAGTTTTGCACCAGAAGGGCTCACCCACTGGGTAGGAGCATATGGTGCACGAGGAGGAGGCAAAAGTAAAAGCTTTAAGACATTTTGCAATAAGGTCACATCATTTAAACTCAGTGACATGAAATAGACAATGCTGTTGGCAAGGAAAGGCCAGAAGTTCAAACACAGGGTAAATGATCCATTACCAGACCCTTAGGTGAATAGTTTCAACTTTCTGCTTATGAAGCAAACAGTTATGTCTTGGATGTAGCATTCTTGGAGTCCACTGCCTTTTCCCTAGGAATAAGTATGGGGTGTGTGGCATGATTTCTGGGATTTTTCCCTGGCAAACACTCCTGGAAGGTTTTGTGATTGACAAGATGTTAAGTTTTATTAAGACCAACCTGTGGTAATAAGAGTTCTGTTGCAAAAGGCCCCGCAAATTTAAATATACAGCTAAAGCAGAAACTGGTTTCCCACTCAGGTAATTTGAAGTTCTTTATCTCTGAAAAAAGAAGCCTGAAGCCATTTTCCTATTCTACAAAGAAATATTTCTAGGGCGCCTGGGTGGCTTAGTTGGTTAAGCGACTGCCTTCGGCTCAGGTCATGATCCTGGAGTCCCGGGATCGAGTCCCACGTCGGGCTCCCTGATCAGCAGGGAGTCTGCTTCTCTCTTTGACCCTCCCCCCTCTCATGCTCTCTATCTCATTCTCTCTCTCAAATAAATAAATAAAATCTTTAAAAAAAAAAAGAAATATTTCTATAACGGAAACTCTGAAGATTCACTTATTCAAGAAAACTCTACCATTCACAGTTCTAAAATGATTTGACCCATGTGAATGCTTTCTATTGCTTTGTTTCAAAGAAAGGTTTTTCCCTCATCTACTTATCTTTTATTGTTGTGCTTTTGAGTTTTGAATCAGTCAGCTCCCTTTATGTACTCTCTTTTCCTCTTCCACTTTTCCAGAAGCCCAATCATAAAATGATACATTCTCTAGGGAGTGCTCTGACCTGGCTGAAAGCCAGCAGTGTGCTTGAGAACTGTGATTAGTGTCCAAATGCAAACTGCCTGTAGATCAATAACCATCCCTGCAGCGAAGCTTTAAATAAAAGGGCTCTGAAATAAAGAAAATGGAACTGAAAAGAAAAGAACAAAATAAGTTAATAAATAAACTAATATCCTTCTCTCTCAGGCTTACTCTCAATTTAGCTTGTGGCAAACCTCAAACTCAGACCTCATGGAGTCTTGTTAATCCTGTTAATGAGTTGTTAGGATTAACTAATTGTGCTGAGGTTAGGGGGAATGATAGAGCCTACCAAATATACACTCCAAGATTTAGATAATTAGTTTCACTTTTTTTTTCTCTAATTTCTAGAAAATAGAGGCAAATACAAAAGAGGGTCTAGGCTCCTTGGAACATGTTATTTGAAATTTATGCAGACAGAACTAGAATATATCAGTAAAGCCAATATATGAATATATGGGGAAATCTCTCTCTCTCTCTCTCTCTGCAATAAGGCTCCTGTAAGGGTGTGTGTGTGTGTGTATGTGTGTGTGTGTGTGTGTGTGTGTGTGTGTGTTTGATAGGCCCCTGAGATAGGAAGTTTCCTTATGGTGTATACTGACTGGAAGTTTTTAATGCTCTAATCAGGGATTGAATTAGGAGGGACCTTGGAACAACTTTATTGCAAGGGTGGTTACCTGACTAAGAACCAGAAAATAAGCATGAGGATGTCATATCAGAGCAAGGAATTCCGTACAGGCAATTATCTTAAGGAAAGGAAAGGAATTGTTACTTTGTATTTTGCTGACTTCAAGTATTCAGTAAAATTATGTTTTCCTTTAGCTTCGCATTTGTTTTGCCAAATGATTGAGTACCGTTAATGTGTTAGATACTGTGCTAAGGATTAAACAATGGATGGAAAAGATCCAGTTTCTGTCCTGAAAGAGATGGCTGTGGTGGGGAAATAATTGCACTGTGGCTTATGCTTCTTGCGGTATTAGAAGTGAACACAGATTGTTGGGGTAACTGAGAGGCTTCCCAGTTGAGAATGGGGAAAGCAGAGAGGCATGAGAAAAGCTGATGCATCGCTGGAATTGGAAACAGTTTAGTATGACTAAGGCATAACATATGCGTTGATATGTCAGGAGAGATGAAGCCAGAGGATAGGCAGGAATGCGTTCAAGAAAAGCTTTGAATGTCATATAATGGAGTTGGGATTATCTTCTGTAGGCCAGTGTTATCAACTTCTATGTGCAGAACCATTAGTGGGAGAGCAAATTAATGACAACATATATGCATGGTATCAGCAGATCATGCAAAACAGAACCTGTTCCAGAATGTAAGGGAGGGAAAATTAAATGCAGAGAATTGATTACACAAGTGATGGAAGCCGAACAGAGGATGTTGAGGCCACTCAAGGATTAGCAAGAGCAAAGAGTCATTACTACCCCCAGCCAGAGGGATACAGGGAGTATTTGGTGTGACCAAAGCCCAGGGACTAGGGCCATCCACTGGAAATAAAATCACTATGGACTAGTCCTGTGGGAACCAGAGCCACAGAGGGGCTATGGAGGCACTTCCCAGAGGAGAGAGGGAGGGAAAAGAAGACAGAGGCTTCTCCCTCCCTCTGTCCTCTAATTACCTGCCAGTGCTTCCTATGAGCAAACTCAGCCAGCGTCCCGAAGACTTGGGAGCCTGAAAATACAGTCTGCAAGAGTTAGCCCTCCAGAGGAAGGGTAAGGAATGGAGCTGGGGGCCCACCCAGACTTTGTCTGTGGGCTGAATAAATATGACTCATCTACCAATGTAGGTAGATGCCATTATGATTAATAAAAACCAAATTTATTTAAAAGAGGTTCTGAATTAATGGTGGCAGCCTTTTGTCATTATGACTACATTCAAAACTTACTATGATGTTGGGCTCTGGATGTTTTTACAAGCTTGCAAAGAGAATTTCACATTAGAAACCAATATATTATATTGTTTTAAGCAGTCTGGAGACATGAGGGAAATGATATGATCACATCTGAATTTCAGAAAGACAATTTTAATGTCAGAGTATGCTCTTTCTCATCAAAGGTAAGAGCCTGTGAGTGGAAACCTTATCCTGTTGTCATTCCCCCAGCACAAATCCTAGGTTCTTGACATAGATTTTTAAATGCTTGCTGAATGCATGTTAGAGTAAGTGCAAGGATCACAAGGGTGGAGCCAGGCCTGGCATTTTGCAGATACTCAATTATTATTGTCAAGTGAATGAATGAATGAATGAATGAATGAAAGCAGGAGAAGAGGAGGTGACATAAGTCAGAAGACTGTTAGAGTAATTGTGGTAAGAAATCAAGAAGGACAAAGTCAATGTGGCAGAAATGACGAGGACCATTGAGAGAGGTATATCAGATCAGTCTGAGGGTTCTCTTAGATGTGGGGGCTAAAGGTGTTGACAGAGCCTAGAATGGTTACCTGCTTTTTATCTTTACCTGGTGTAATCCATGGGGATAGCATTGACTAGAGTAGGGCATGCAGAAGGAAAAGTCTTGGGGGGCTGTAATTGGGGAAGAAAAGTATCAAAACTTTGATATTTAGAGGTTAGAGAGAGATATACTTCAGATTTGGACATGCTTTTCATATAAATCCTGTGTGGGATTCTGCTGTATGTCAGTAGGAAGTTGATTTCAGATCATCAAAAAATGCAACTGTTTTACACAGGCTACCTATTTTTAACACTAACCCAAACACTAGAAGAAATGGCTATGGAATGGAATCTGCTCAGTTTATCTTAAATATGTTATACTCCCAAAGTCCAGGCACCATGCAAAGGGTTTTAATATTTTTCTCTTTTCTATGCAATTTGCTGCTATATTTATAAATTTAAAGCAGTCAAGGTATTGAAGGCCATTTTCTTTGTGTACCTTAAAATTAATTTGATGAGGGGCGCCTGGGTGGCTCAGTCGGTTAAGCGACTGCCTTCGGCTCAGGTCATGATCCTGGAGTCCCGGGATCGAGTCCCGCATCGGGCTCCCAGCTCGGCAGGGAGTCTGCTTCTCCCTCTGACCCTCCTCCCTCTCATGCTCTCTGTCTCTCATTCTCTCTGTCTCAAATAAATAAATAACATCTTTGAAAAAAAAATTAATTTGATGAGTTCATAGAAGTTATAAAATTAATTGGTAAAGTTTCTAACATTCATCCCACTTAAAATAGATTGACTCAATTTGGTAGCATTCACACTGAAATTATATCTATACTATAGGTATTACATTTTACCATTGTAATATATATTTCAGGGACCTGGTTTAATTCATCCATATTTGCAAATAGACTCATTAATGGGCCTGCTTTATTAAAATGTTGCACTATGTGCAATTTTAGGGATCAGGGGACAGGTATTTTGAGCCCTAATCAAAATGAAACCAATCCATTTGTGATACTCCTTCGTGTCGCCCTTATGTTTTCCTTGTTCCATATTTCTTCTTCTTCTTCTTCTTCATTTTTCTAGTTGTAGATTCTTGTTCTAGTTGCTGAAAATGGGCCCAGTAGGTGCAGAGGCTGATGAGAACCAGACAGTGGAAGAAATGAAGGTGGAGAAGTATCATCCACAGCAAACCACTCCTAGAGGTGAGCTGGCCCCCGACCCTGAGCCAGAGCTTATAGACAGCACCATGCTGATTGAGGTACGGATTATCCTCATATTAGCTTATTGCTCCATCATCTTGCTTGGGGTAATTGGAAACTCTTTGGTGATTCATGTGGTGATCAAATTCAAGAGCATGCGCACAGTAACCAACTTTTTCATTGCCAATCTGGCTGTGGCAGATCTTCTGGTGAACACCCTGTGCTTGCCATTCACTCTTACGTACACCTTGATGGGGGAGTGGAAAATGGGTCTTGTCCTATGCCACCTGGTTCCCTATGCCCAGGGCCTGGCAGTACAAGTGTCCACCATCACCTTGACAGTCATTGCCCTGGACCGGCACCGTTGCATCGTCTACCACCTGGAGAGCAAGATCTCCAAGAGAATCAGCTTCCTGATTATTGGCATGGCCTGGGGCATCAGCGCCCTGCTAGCCAGCCCCCTGGCCATCTTCCGCGAGTATTCGCTGATTGAGATTATTCCTGACTTTGAGATTGTGGTCTGTACAGAGAAGTGGCCTGGCGAGGAGAAGAACATCTATGGCACTGTCTACAGCCTTTCTTCCTTGCTAATCCTGTATGTGTTGCCTCTTTGCATCATATCCTTTTCCTACACCCGTATCTGGAGTAAACTTAAGAACCATGTGAGCCCTGGAGCTGCCAATGATCACTACCATCAGCGAAGGCAGAAGACCACCAAAATGCTGGTGTGTGTGGTCGTGGTGTTTGCGGTCAGCTGGTTGCCTCTCCACGCCTTCCAGCTTGCTGTGGACATTGACAACCAAGTCCTCGACCTGAAGGAGTACAAACTCATCTTCACCGTGCTCCACATTATCGCCATGTGTTCCACCTTTGCCAACCCCCTCCTCTATGGCTGGATGAACAGCAACTATAGGAAGGCTTTCCTCGCAGCCTTCCGCTGTGAGCAGAGGTTGGATGCCATCCACTCTGAGGTGTCTGTGACATTCAAGACTAAAAAGAACCTGGAAGTCAAAAAGAACAATGGCCCCCGTGACTCTTTCACGGAGGCTACCAACGTCTAAGGAAGCTCTGGTATGAAAATTGGTAGCTGAATTCTGACCAGAGCTATAAATCTGGTTGAGGAGAGCTCCCAGGTGCATCCTGATTTCCCACTTTAAGGAGGAAAAGGAGGATCTGAATGGAAGCATCTGCAGTAGAATCTGTGGAAACCTGGGTGGCAAAGCGTTGGTGAAAAGACTCCTATTCAAAGATACAACACACAGTTTGCCTATGGTTGCTTGGATGGTCGGTCAAAGTCTGAGTAAAAGCAGAGAGGGATGCTTTTGACTACTTCCCAGAATGAAGGAAACCCGAACAAGGAATTGGCATTATCAGCATTGCTAAAAAATGGTGGCTAAATAAGTTGCCTTTCAAATCATATTAGGGCGTCGACAGGGGGTGATGTGCTGCTCACTGCCCCCTCATCTGAGGAAAAGACTACCCAAAATCAATTTCCCTAGGGAGCCACAGGCTCTTCTTTATTGTATTTTTTTAAAATTATTCTTCCTATGGACCAATCCTTCAGGGAGCATTACCAACTATTTGAACGACTTACAGGAAATAAGCTGAAATTTGCTATATAATTAGTATTTTGGCCAGTGATGGGGGAAATCTTTATTCAGTTAGCCAATTGTTCTTAAAACCAAATGCACATTTAGTGAAAACTTTCTTCAACTCAGAAGAGAAGGCTGAAATTCTCAGAATTATAGAAATGTAAACAGTCATGTAGCTTCTCATTTCAAGTTGTGACTGCTTTATATAGATACTATTTACCTAACAAATAAGCATACAGCTCAAAACTTTTAATCACTTCTAATTGTTGTATCCTTTGGAACATGTATTATTCCTATGTTAGAGCTGAGTTTGTCTTCACTACAAATTAATTCCGATTAGGAAATAATTTTTGTGGCATTTTGCAACATTTTGTGGTTATTTGTAAACAGTTTTTGCATAGATACGTAGCTCTAATGTGTTTACAGAACACTGCAGTGTTATTTTTTGAAATTCATCTTCCATGGACCCATTCAGAATTAATAAAACAATATAATTTCATCAAAATGGAACCACCTGGTAAGAGATATTAAAAACATTGCATTCATTACACTTTGCAAACATTCTGTTTGGACCAATTTAAACATAAATTATCCTCCTCTCAAAATACTTAGCTATGTATTTTGGATAACTTATAAATATATACATAATAAAATTTTACCTATAAATAGTGGAGTGTAGATGCTATAATATTTTTCATTGAATGATTTTGGGAACACAATTTTTATTTCAATAGTACCCAATCAGAGATGCTTAAAACCCTAGTATGTTTATGAAAACTCACTGAGATGTTAAAATATTTGTACTTCTTTGGGTGCTGTTAAAGAAGATTTATTGTAATCACATTTTGTCAGTATGACTGAATTTGTGAATAGATTTCTTAAATTTTAAAAAGCTTCAATATGAATATTACATTTAGTTACAAACATTAACTTTATGAACAGGAGAGTTTCATTTTATGGATATATTTAAAATTCATACTATGGCTCTTGTTGAATTACTTCCAGTGAAGAAGTAAAGCTCTTGATGTGGACTTGACGTGGGCTTCAGTGGAATACTGAAAAAGAATGAAAACAGTGAAAGAGTAAGAAGTAAACAAAAAATAATATATATATGTAACATGTCATGTAATGGATGAGTTGATTTTTCTGTTGGACTTGACATAACTATCCAAGAAGAAGCTTTTTGTCCTTTAAATAGCAGTTACTTTGTTTAAGATGTTAATAGATAATTGTGGTTAAAAGTGTTGTCTTTCCCTCTTGGAGAATTCTTACCCTGAAGGAAATGTGTATGTTACTGTATCACCAGTTGTAGTAGTAAATTATTGGAATCCAATTAATGATCCATTAATATATGTGATCTAATTAATTCTGTTAACCCATTAACAAAGTATCTTATGTAGTGATTTTATCTGTTGAAATAAAAAGACTTTGGGAAATTAGAGAAATTGTGTGATTTTTATATCAGAGTTTCTGTCCAAGATGAAATAGTAGGCCTTTGACACAACCAAAAAAAGGAAAATAATGGTGACTCCTAGATAGTTTAGCTCTCTTTCCTTTCTGTACATGAACATGAGTCAATGTGTTCACTCCTATGGCTGCAATTATAATTCATATTTTTGCAGTGTTTGAATCTTTAAGACCAGACCTTTTTTTTATCTTCAAACCTGTATCTTCATCAGCTGACTTGACATGTCTACATGGGTGTCTCATCAGCGAATTAAATCGAACATGTCTAAAACAGAACCTGCCATTTTGATCCACACCCCACTTCACCTCTACTTTGTTTTCCTGTATTTCTTTTCTAATCATGATGCTGCTATTAATCTAGTTCCCTAAAGCCTTACACTTTGGAGTCACCCTTGACACTTGTGTCTCCTCATCACACATGTCCAATCAATTCCCACATTTTGTTCTAATTCCTAGATGTTGCTTGCATCAGTTCATTTTTCTTCATCCTTATGCTCCCCACCATAGTTCAGGTTGTGATTATCTTCCTAGACCCAGTATTATCTCTCATCTGGTTTAATGTTACAGCTTCCTAATTGGTCTCTCTATATCCAGTCATCTTCCTATCCAATTCACCTTTTACCCACCTGCCAGAGTTATTTTTCAAAAACTCAAATTTTATCAAATCATTCTTCTGATGACAGCTCTTCAGTGTCTCCTCATCATCCTTATGCTAGAGTCAAAATCTTTTTATGACTTGGAAGGCTCTTTAGTACCTGACTCTACTTACACGTTTTATCCCTTGCAAATTCTCTTTCTATAATTTTTGCTGCTAGATTTTAAGCATATGAGGGCGGGGGACAGAGACTCTTTTAATCATTGTGGTACCACAGGTATTTGCAGCTTCTGGCACCAATTAGTGATCAATAACTATCCATCAAGGAAACTGAGTCAATGAGTCAAGTAAATATTAAAGCCAAGATTTGAAGATAGAGCTGTAAGATTGTAAACCATACACTTGTCCTAGTTTTGTTATACAACTTGTAGGAAAGTAAGGGTTTAGCCATACAGGAGTCAAGGAAAGATGCATATTCGTTCCAGATTAGGGTTTTTATTGAAGGCCATTAAGTATAACACTTGTATAATTGGGAAGGGCTCTATACATATACTCCATTTAGGGTTCACTCAAAATTATCTAGAACCTTGCACAAGGGAAGCATAGAAAAGCCAGTGCATTATACTCGTCATAATTCAGATAACTGAAAAGAAGTCAAGCTAGGTATTTCCAGCAAAAAGTCATTTAATACAGGAAATTAAAATCTTGCAAAACCACTGGAAGAATTGGAGAAGTGAAGGTGAGGAAAAGCTGCCACTGGCATTGAAGAAACCAGGAAGTGAGTATTATACTTAAAGTCATGAGTATTATACTTAAAAAAAAAAAACAGCTCCCAACAGCTATTTTTTTAGTGGCTATAATTAGAGAGTATGGATAGAATCATACGAAACCATACGAAATCATACGAAACCACTTTTCATGCCTACAACAGAGAGTGGACGATGTACAGGACGGAGTACAGGTGTATCCATTAAAATCTTATTGCCTCCTAATGTCTGTTGATAGATGAATGGACACACACACACACACACACACACACAGGAATATTACGCAGCCATAAAAAATGAGATTTTGCCATGTGTGACAACATGGATGGGTATTATGTCTAGTGAAATAAGTCAGACAGAGAAAGACAAATACCATATGATTTTACTTGTATAGGGAATCTAGAAAACAAAACAAACAAAAATTTATGGGAGCTAACCCGTAAATACAGAGAACAAACTGATGCCCGCTTGAGTGGAGGGTGGTAGGAAATGGGCAAAATAAATGAAGGGGAATGGGAGGTACAGGCTTCCAGTTATGGAATGAATAAGTCAAGACATAAAAAGTATAGTATAGGGAATATGGTCAATGGTTTTGTAATCGCTTTGTATGGTGTCAGATGATAGCTACACTTGTGAGCATAGTATAACATATAGACTTGTCCAAACACTGTATTGTACATCTGAAACTAATGTAATATGTGTCAACGAGATTTCAATTAAAAAAATCTTATTGTCTCCTGCTAAGCCCATAATCCTGCCCCCTTCTCTCACCATAGACTCAACAATGCCTTTTGCTTCTCTTTTGCTTTTCAAAATTCATGTGAGTATCTCTCATTTGTGGAATACAACTCTAGCCTTGCTGGCAGGGATTTGGGGAAATGTAGTTCTTAGGTTTCTATCCCATAAGGTTCAGGGAGAGCATGGAAGGGAGAATATGTTGTCTAATTGCTGTCAGACAATTTGGCAATGTTGAGAATTGCCCAGATGGTGTAATTTCTAGTTTCAGCCTCATCCTCTCTTTCTTAGTGTTTGTTTGTTTGTTTATTTTTTGTTTTTGGGGGTTTTTTTGGTTTTTCAGAGTTACAGTGATGCAGTTTGATTGTATCTTTTTTTTCCTTTTCTGGTTTCAAGGCCAATGGGTTAAAGATACTCTTTAAAATTGGCCCATTAGTACAGAGGAACTGAGGAATAAAGCATAAAGAAAGAACTCCCCCCCCCTCCCCGGCCATGGTAGGTTGATTGGAATGGAGGAAGAAAGAATTATATCAAGACTTAATGATTAGGGGCGCCTGGGTGACTCAGTAGGTTAATCGTCTGCCTTTGGCTCAGGTCATGATCCCAGGGTCCTGGGATCAAGCCCCATGTCGGGCTCCCTGCTCAGCAGGAGAGTCTGCTTCTCCCTCTGCCTCTGCCCCTCTCCTCTGCTCCTGCTCGCCACTCTCACTCTCTCTCAGTCTCTCTCTCTCTCAAATAAATAAAATCTTTAAAAAAAAAAAGACTTAATGATCTAAAAACCACAGAAGAATATAAATTCTGGATTAACTAGGATGATCAAAGGAAATGATATCTCAGGGAGAATACAATCTTTAAAATTTTCAAGTTGATAAGGGATGAAATATGAATGTATAAAGAATGATTTGTGAGGATTTATAAAAGACACCTGTTAGATCACTGACCTTTTTTCTTCAGTGGTACACTAGTCCGATGTCCACAGACTTCACAGATTTTCCTAGATATGGGTGAGGTTATAGGGAAGATGGACTGTGGGTTAGATAGTTCACAAGTTATATAACTCCAACTCTTTCTTGTTAGTCCATGAATATGTAACTGAATGGAAGTAAATGAAAATGACTAACTCTGCATCTACTCTTCTTTGTAAATCATTGCCAAGTTTTAACACTTTAACAAATTACTTGGCAAACACCACATAGCAGATTGTGATACAGACATGTAGTGTCACATTAAATTAAAAAATGCTACATTATCCTCACAAAAAATAAAGGAAAAAATAAGTGAATATTTTTGTCATTTTATTCTAAGATAGCATGAAACAGATGATTAGAGTCATGAGTATTATACTTAAAAAAAAAAAAAAACAGCTCCCAACAGCTATTTTTTTAGTGGCTATAATTAGAGAGTATGGATAGAATTTTGGAACTGTCAGTGTTATGATGTGATGCTACTTTTATGAAAAACATAGTTGAGCATATACTTTGAGCAGTTTTGTTACTCATGCTAATCATTTGTACCGATACATATTCACCATGCCTTAAAAAATACACTTTGCCCATCAGCACATTCTTTTTTTTAAAATTAATTAATTTATTTTTTATTTTTTATTTACATATAATGTATTATTTGTTTCAGGGGTACAAGTCTGTGATT